TTAGTTGATAATGTTGATAATTAAATAATAATTAATTAATTAATTGATAATAATTCGTATAACTGTATAAGACAAGTGATTATGATAAGTGATTGGGCGCGCAAATTCAAATTAGACCAATCAGGAAAGTCCGGTTGTGAAACAATGTAGGGTATGTTAAAATGCTGCCCGGTTGGGGGATGGCGGCACTTGTTCTCCGGTCACCGCGACTTGTCCAGAGAAAAATGCCGCCCGGTGGCCGAGGATCGAACCGCGATCGGCTGCGTCGCAGCGGACGCGTCAGACCACTCGGTCACCTCGTCCCCCTATTTATTTATTGTTGGTGGCAGTAGTATTATATTTTATTTATACCTGGTGACTGAATTTTTATATGGGTACAGTCTATAGCTCCTATTACTCTGGGAAATCTACTTCAGCTATAAAATCCAGTGACTACTCTTTTTGTATCAACATCGTTCATTGGAAACGACATGAATTTTTGTTTTTGCTTTGCTATGGCTCTACATGTTTGGTGAATGTAACGACATGCTGAGGATTCACTAACCCCAACAAAGTCAGAAATCGCTAACAAAAAAGAACCTGTAGCAAAATACCTCAGCATCATGTACAGCTTACAAGGTGCTAATATTGCTCTGTTTCTGAAACAAAAATAGTAATACCATAGGTAGAAGAAAAATCCACAGCAATTTGCTTGTACATACAGTTGAAGGATTTACATACTGTTGGTTATTCGACGACAACATCAATATCAAGTTAGGACCATCCTGTCATCATAGCAGTAAAAAAAAGTTACACATCTTGAGATTCCTGTGCACATCCACAATTAATTGTAACATTACAATAGATGTTGTCGTCTCCAACAGTATCACTGTTTTTCATGCAGCAACTATTTTCAAATTGTATTAAAAGCTACTTACCTTTGAGAAGGAGGTGATATTTCATTTTCTATCAATCTCAAGACAGTACTAAACGTAGCTTTTGAAATACGAAATCGATTTATGAAATCATGATCATCATACAATTCACAGTAGTTGACTCTTTCATAAAATACCCGAGGTCGACGTTGCATAGCAATAATATCTTCATCATCGTCACTGTCATCGTATAGTATTCGACGATACATTATATTTTAGTTATTTTAAACTCTTGTTTTAAAAATGCACTATTAGAAACCAAGGTAGGAACTATGAAAACGTTGAAGTAAAAAATCGCGTCAAAATATAAACTTCGATGTGTTATCTACATGATTACATTATTATTATCATATAAACAATCCCTCCCGCGCCAACGCGGCTGATACCGTGGTCGTAACTAGGAGTTAAGACGTTATTACCCAGAATAACCGGGGGTTAAAATCTGAGAGTAAAGATTTTCATTAACTTGAAGTTACCGCTTAACTCCGGCTCGTGAAATTACTCTTTTGCGCTAACTCCGAGTTATTGCTAACTCGTACTCTAACTCTAGGTGGTGAAACCGGCCCATAATATATTATTATTATTCAATACATAGAGTAAGATTCAATATATAAAATTTTTGAAAAAGGCGCGAGAAATGTGATCAATTATCACGGTCTGTTCATAATAATGTGCACGAGATCGCGCTAGCAATCTTGCCGTAACGTAAGAAGTTAGTGCGTCGAAATATGAATTGATAAGGCGCTGCGTTCCGTATCCAGTATATCTTAATTCGTGCTTACTCTTAAGACCATGATTATTTATTTGGATGTATACTTTTGATAGACATTCTACATAATATTTTAAACACAATTTTTTTTTTTAAACATTGATAAATACTTAGCCAATGCAAAGTGAAATCCAGTCCAAAATGATAAAAATAAGTCTTAATTTGAGAATTGTTGATAAGAGTTAGGTACTCACATAACATACTTTTTAAATTTAATACTTTAAGGGCTGTTTATTAGTTTATTTATGACATTAAATACAAAATGTAAAAAGTTACTACCTAAAAAGTAATTTGGGTTGTGATTAGTAGTACCTATCCTGTTAGATTGAGTTTATAAAACGTAATTTGTCTACCAACAAATCTAGTCACTAATTTGAGTTAAGATACCTAGAACATTAAAAAAAAAACTGGTAATCTAGTTAGGTATTTTACTTGGAAGATGTCAGCGAACTATTTTGTTTTCTCTCTCGGATATGGTTATAATCATTATTGTGAACGTAAATTTTGCTATGTTGCGAGTGAGTCAGAGAGAGATACCAAAATATTATTATTGCTATTATTCATTCATTATTGTATAGTATTATATTATAATATTATTATAAGACATGACATGTAAAATTGCTATAATTAACCCTACCTCTAATTGAAAGGCACTCAAACTGCTACGATAAGAGGTAGATGAACCATAATATAGATCATAAGATAATTGTTCGAGTCATGCATGGATCCAGGGTAAAAATTTTTTTCTGCACAAATACAATTACAATATAATATACTTTATTCCTAATTTAAAAATGTTGTGATAATAGTATCCTCCGACCTCAGAGTAATAGTAATATAGAGATGGCACTACGTATAACGGTATATGGAAATGTGTCAACAAAGCGAAAAACAATCGAAATGATGACACTCCGATTAAAGATGCTACAAAAACAAAAGTAAAACCTACATCAGTAGAGATTGACACATTAGCTATTATAAATAGATTAGATGAGGTCTTAAGAAATCAAGTAACTACAAACAACACTTTAACAGTACTTAATAATCGTGTAATTGAACTTGAAAAATCATTAAAAGAAAAAGACCAAGTTATTCATAGTCTGGAGTACAAAATTAA